GCCTATCAATTTTACTAATTCTACAATTAACTGCAGTCAACCTGTACTATTTGGCAATCGATGCCATTGACAAATCCCTTTTCAAAGTATAAATACAGACATTCCAAATTTCCGAAACTTGCATGCAACATTGGCTGACATTCAGGGTAAAACTCTCCCATTTTGAGTGAAACTCTGTAAGGTTACCAACCAAGCACACAACTCTGCAGATATTCAACACAACGTTACCAACTTTGCTGGCAACTTTCTAAACTTAACTTTAGCAACAGTGCATGCAACATCACAGACTATCCACACAACATGGATGGAACTTTGTAGGCTTTCTATGTAACTTTACTAAGAGTTAAACGCAACGTTGCAGTCTTCGAACATTAGAGACCTGCCACATATAACCGTCGTTGCACGCAAATTTACAGACCAGACAGCTTTACACACTTTCCACGTGTCATAACCAATTTTGTACATGGCATTACAAAGTTTAATAATTTCTATAACTTTTCGATAAATAGTATCACAATCTCTACCTATATCAGGTTCGACATTACATTACATTACAGTGTGAAACCTATCTAATGGCAAGTTTTGCACTCGACACGAGAGCAGTATATTGCCGTACATCGACGTTATTACTTTATCAACTTTGTACGAAGGTTTAAAGAAACTTCTCGTAGCGTCAAACTTTCCAAGCAAGGTTATCAACTTTACTTTTTCCGAATGACATAAAAGTGTATAGAATTTCTACATAACGCATCTACTATATTTTGCCTTAAGATAAATACAGAATTTGACATGTATCTAATTGCTCAGATGGGTTAATTTTCTTAGCCACTTTTTAAAACTAATGCTTATTCAATCATTACTGTCAAAACCATAAAAATGAGAGTGTACTACATTTGACAGGAGTTCTTATAACACTCATCCCATTTCATCATTTGTGCAAACAAATTAAACTTTAGTTATCTCTATTGGAAGACATTCAAAAACATTCACACACTGTATCGACCACAATAAAATGGGGTGTCATATGGTGCAATTCAAGTATATTATTCTATTCTATTCATTCATTCATTCAATACCAAACCAGTTGTACTATGCACTATCTCCTATGAAATGAAGATTTGCATAAGCTACCCTTCAATTTCGCATAGAATTATGAACAAAATATTTTAACTTAGTATGTCGCCTCGTCAATACGTTTCACGTTCTTATAAAAATAGGTGGTGTTATGTTCTGAAAACCTGTAATAAATGAAAAACGATCGATTATTTTTGT